TATCTAATGGGAATGCATAAAGCGTTGATTTAGAGACACTGCGAAAAGGAAAAAACACTGATTCCCTGGGGAAGCAGTTAAACAGTAAAAATTACCTCTGCTGTGAAATATACACCTTATTTCTACCATGCCTACCTTCTGTTTCCAGTCTTTACAACATGAAAACCAAGAATACAGATTTTTAAACATTGAAATGTGTATGTCAGAGATTGGAAAGGGTTGTTCAGGCTATTTAAGTCCTTTCCAGCAAAGTCCTGCTTGTGGAATTAGGCGCAGGAAGAGCACAGCCACCCCTCCCGCCTGCCCAAACCCACCCCTCCCTCGGCTCTCCTTCCTGCCGCCTCTCTCCTAGGACTGACTCAGGGTCGTGGATGAAGGAGCCTGTTGTCTGTGGGACCTCTGCTTGGTGAAGGCTGGAAGGTGTCTAATGAATGAGGAGGGGAGAGGAACATCTTGCTGCTCAGGGCTGAGTTGGATGAGGGTGAGGAGTTGGATGCTGTTCCCACCTCCGCCGCGGCGCTCTCCTGCGGTGACAAACAAGTCCTCTCGCCAGGCTCTCCACAAGCGGTTCCTGTGTTTTCCTCATTTTCCAGTTGCCCCACAGGGGCCCTAGAGTCCAATTTGCAGAAGTGTTGGGCGCACGCAGCCCTGAGTGAAGTCGGGAAGGCGGTGATTTAACAAAAAATCTTCTGTGTTCTCACAAACACGAGAAACAGGGTTTGGAGAACTGAGAGCTCAAAATAATGCATTAGGAGCAGATCCAGCTTCGGTGCCTGAATTCCCTGTCTGTATCCTGGGAATAATGATAGAAAACTAGTAATTGTTTGCACAGCGCTCAGACACCAGGGTGTTCCTTAGAAAAGACGGTGACAACATGAGCATTTCCATCTTTAGAGCGGAGTTTGAATAGCAGACAGGAAATCAGGCATGAAACTGCCAAGCGAACAGGGGGAAATTATACACACACTGAGCACCATCCTCCCCGTGGGCTGGGGAGGGGACAATGACAGTAATATGGTATATTGCCCTTAAGGGACAGGATCAAACGTATACCAACAGGGAATCAGAGCAGAGTGACCCAGGCAATTCTAATTCCAGCAGTTTCTAATGTTAAGTACCTTCCTGGAGCTCAGCTCCTGCAATGTAATTTCTTCTGTCCGGCAGGGCTTGACGCCGAAATTCTTGTTTCTATATGCAAACTCCAAAAATTGTTTACAAAGTCTAGAGGCGTCCGGGCAGAGGTCAGCGCAATGTACACAGTTATTTAAACTGGTTTGGGGCGGGTTTGTTCTAGAAATGCAAACAACACGTCAGGGCTCTCCTTGCACCTGGCTTAGAGCAGGACCCGTTAACTCCCTCTTAACTACCCCAGGCACAGAACCGCTTTAATGCAATTATCCTACCTCCAGCCCTGACGGGGTGCTATCTTGCATAGTTTGTACGTGTTTTGAGCCACCGTTCATAATATCTCATTGTCGAATGGGTGGAGAGTTTCCTAACGAACAAAAGCACAACTTCTTTCCAGCTTCAAAGGAGAAATGTGAATTTTTTGGGTAAGAACCATGTATTATTTTATTATTATTTTTGCAACAGCTGAGACTGATACCGATCAGTAGGCAGCTTCTATTATTCTTCGAAAGTTGGCACGAGACTAGTAAAAAAAAAACCACACAAACAGTAAATTGACAATGGAAAATTACCACACTATTGCCCATGGGTGTTCTAATTTCAACAGGCAAAACCTGATAACTCGGCCATTCGTTCCACCTCACTCAAACAATAGATAATCTCTTTGCAAATACCTCAGGAACTAATGAAGAGCCATTTGTTTGGGCGATTCTCCTCTGATTCTTCAGAGCTCCCCAGTCTCAGTGGAGTTCTTAGAAAGAAACAGGCTCTTCTGCTGCCCCTCTCCAAACTCTGGGGCATGGAAGTATCTTCTTTGTCCCAGGTCCTTAGTTCATGTCACAGAGTGACTGAGGTGTCTGCCATCCCCTTCCAAGCTCTGGTGTTTCCCCGGGAAGGAAACAAGACCAGAACAGTAGCTGGAATTGCTTTTGGTCTGTGTGTCTGAAGGATGAGGACCCGGAGACATGCCAAACTGCCCTGGTTGCACAGATTAGACATAGCCATTTTCCAGCAATTACCTTTCTGCTTTACCATGTTTTGTTCCTATATTTAAATGAACAAAATTTTGAGAAAACTTTTCAGTACAACGAAGTTAATCTTTCTCTGTCCAAAAACTGTTCTTAAGCAAGAAGCAGCAGCCTCACACGGTTCTTCAAAATCTTTCTTGAAAATGTGCTTCATGATATGTTTGGAGATGAAGATGATGAGATTCATTTTTGTCACCAAGGTGGATGTCCCCCAAGGTGAACGTGGTGCCAGAGCTACAGGCTGTAACCCAGACTTTCCTTGTTCTTAGATTGGTAATAGTGCACACAGAGCAAGGAAAGACCAAAGCTTGCCCAACAAGCAATAGACCATATGGAGGCAAGTGTTTGGGCTAGGATATCATCATAAAGAAAAATGAAAGCCCATTGGAGTCTCCTGAGAAAAATCAGGAAGCATGCATTGACAGTGCAGGTCTGACATCCACCGACAAAAGCTGCCACCTTGATAGCAGGCTGGCATGAAAGACCATGACAAGAGATAAAGTAATGCAGAAAACAGCAAATAACAACCTGGTTTTCTCAAGAAAATAGCAGTGTCTTCGCAATGAGAGGGGCATTCAATGCCAAGCTAAAGGAAAACATTGCTCTTCATGTGTCAGCACTGGCACCCAGCAGAACTGGACACACTTCAGCAATTTCCACGCTATATGGACACTACAGCGGTCTTGATTCTCTGGGGTGGGTACAGGGTTTCACCATCCTGAGCTTGTTGCAGGATGAGGAGTTACACCTTCATTCTGAGCATGCAGAGTTCTCAACTTCTCACTGTCAAGAATCACTTTTGGCTATGCAGAAAATTTAACACTACAAAAGCAGTAATCACCTGCTGTTATTACGCCAGAGCTGGATTCCCTCCTTCTCTCCTGGCCCAGAAGGCACCTAACACAGGATTTGGTGAACTCGTACCCTGAACCCAAAATTGCACTTCATACACATGTAATGATCTGTAGCCATGTGACTCAGTAGCTGATTGTTCAGGTGCTGGCAGGCGGGAAGCTGCCAGGCCCAGCTGATGGTTGGGTATGGAAAGAGGAGCTTCTGAGCAGCCGGAGAGCTGCTGTACCTCTGTATTCAGCGCTACGGTGGCAGCTACCCCCATCCTACACACCCCTGTGGTCCTCACCAAAGACGATGGAGAGGATCAAGAAACTTATAAGGACCGGAAAATACACGTTGCAACACAAATCTCTGTTCAGCTTAGCTAGGGTTATAATTGCAGAGGCAGCTCAAATGATGAAACAACCTGTTAGTGCCAGACAGAAGGGAATCACCCTTCCATCATTCCTGTTTCTCCTTCCTCCTCCTCCTTTCTCCTGTTTGCAGTCACACCCTCCCTTCCCCTGCTCTGGTTGGAGCTGGTGCTTTCGTTGCTGGTTTGGCTCACTAACCCAACAGAAAAAACATTCATGTTTTTTGATGGATTTGATTTCTGCTGGCGCAGTGAGTTAAGTTGTCCCATGGAAGAGCTCGACAAGTGCTGGGACAGGCTCAGGACAGGAGAAAGGCTAGAGGTGGGAGCAGACCTCCTTCCTTGGCGCTGGTTAACTGACAAACTCCTCCACTGAATGCCCTGGTTTCTTAGCTGAAGGGAGGCTTTGGGACGCCCAGTATGTTTAATTATCTACATGATGAACAGGGTTTGACAACAGGGAAAGGCAGTGGCAAGGAATCCTAGCAAAGAAGGACTTTAGGGACTAAAAATTTATGCTAGAGAAGTTCATAGAATCACAGAATGGTTAGAGTTGGAAGGGATCATCGAGTTCCAACCCCCCTGGGGACACCTCCCACCAGACCAGGTTGCTCAAAGCCCCATCCAGCCTGGCCTTGAACACTTCCAGGGATGGGGCAGCCACAGCTTCTCTGGGCAACCTGTTCCTGTGTCTCACCACCATCACAGGAAAGAATTTCTTCCGAAGATCTAATCTAAATCTCCCCTCTTCCAGTTTAAAACTGTTAGCCCTTGTCCTATGACTATGACTACAGCTCCTGACAAAGAGTCCCTCCCCATCTCTCCTGTAGGCTCCTTTCAGGTACTGAAAGGCTGCTATAAGGTCTCCCCGGAGCCTTCTCTAGGCTGAACAACCCCAGCTCTCTCAGCCTGTCTTCATAGGAGAGGTGCTCCAGCCCTCTGATCATCTTCGTGGCCCTCCCTGGAACCTATTCCAACAGGTCCACGTCTTTTCTATGTTGAGGACTCCAGAGCTGAACACAGTGCTCCAGGTGGGGTCTCTCGACGGCAGAGTAGAGGGGCAGAATCACCTCCCGTGACTGTGGAGTAATTATGGTACAAAAGCCTCTTTACGAGCGTGTTCTGGGGATTTTCCTGCTGCTGCTGTACTTTGCACGACACTTTCCCCAGGGGAGCTTCTCCGGGAGATGTGCTGGCCTTCAGAGATGTATGGGTGGCAGGAGGCCCATGCCGGCGCTGGGCCGCGGGCCAGGTGAGGTGGTCACCTTGGCTCTGAGGTGGCCCAGCCCAGCCGGGAAACGGCAAACCAAAGCCGAGACAAGGCACCTGGCAGGATTTTTACTACAGGGAGGGAAAAAAAAATATTGGAAAAGTGATAGAAAATTATGCTTTTTTTTATTCTCCGTGGAGGTGACAGCTGTGGGCCCTGAAAGGCAAAGGCGTGAGGCGACGGCAGTACAACAGTGCAGGGCGCCCCGCAGGCGGCCAGCAGGGGAGCGGGACCACCACCGCCGTTTCTAACGGAGCTGGGCCACCGCCGCCCGCCCCACAGCCGCCAGCGGAGGGTGAGGGTCCCGGTCCCGGTCCCGGTCCCGTGGAGCCCCGTCCCCACCCGCCGGGCCCGGCCCACTCCCGCCGCCGGCGGAGCATGCGCGGGGCCGGGCCAGTTCCGCCACCGCCCCCGCTCCCCTCATAGCGGCGCGGCCGGGACCGACGGGAGACGCTGCTGCCGCCGCTTCTCCTCTCTGCGCTAAGGACCCCGACGAACGGCAGCCGCTGCCTGGGCCGGAGGTAAAGGAGGGGCTTGGGCCGGCTGCCCGGGGCCCCTCTCCCGCCGCCCTTTGTGTGTGGGCCTGGGGCGGCGGCCTGTCCTCGGCGGAGGGAGGGAGGGAAGGAGGGGGGTGGGCTGCGAGCATGGCGGAGCCGGGGGGGGGGGG